AGAGTTTCAGGGCATCAACAAGCAGGTGCTCAGGCCATTAAATGTGGCACCTGGAGAAAAGATGAATTGGACCAGGGGTATGTCTGCACCTCTCATCTCCCTGGCCTTCCTCAATTGCCGGCCCTGGCCTCCATTCTCAATGCCACTGACCTTGCTTCTCCTTGTGAAATCTGGATATCTATTTTAGCAGCCTCTGCTCTTTTGAACCTAAAGACGACTCGGCTCCTACATAGGACCCCATCCAGAGTTTTGTGATAACCGGCCAGAGTTAGGTAGAGAATAACAATAAACCCCCAGGATCTGAAGAGTTAAATGGTCTGCTATGGGAGAGCCTGGGCTTCCGATCAGAGACAGCACTCAAGGTGAGGATGGGTCAGCAGCAGATAGCCCTCCTAGGACCCATTCCTGGATGTCTGCTGTTGGATATGTGCCAGAGCAAACCAACCACTTCTAGATAAGAAAACCTTCGAGAGTCCAAACCAGGATTGTCAGGTTCTGAAATGCGATTTCCCATGAGAGGATGAAGAACAAAAGAATATAGTCCACCCCTTCACCTGCCAGTCAGCCCGGAGACATGGACACGTAAGACTTCCTGTTTTAACAAGTCACAATCACAACATCCCGAAGACTAGCAGCAACCAATAATAATTTGTTTTATTACAGGCATCTGAAGAGTATTTTGAGCTTTTCAAAGTACTCTGATGTACATGATCACATATGCAGCCCACGCCTGTATCTCAGGAAGGATGGCAAATGATTAAACTGAGCACAAGAACAAAACGATGGGTGAAAAAAAAAAATGAATGGGGCATCTCCAGGGAATAGCATGAAGAAAGAAAATCAGACTGCTTTCATTGGTACTAAGAAGTCCCTTTGATTCTACAATCCAGGTGCCAACAGGTGGTTCTCAGGGAAGATGAAGAGGTAGCCCGCTCCTCTCTCCCGAGCTCCAGGTTTCCGGACGCTATCACCTGCCGTGCATCTTTACCCCCAGCAAAACATCTTCAAACCTGAACTTGCTCCCCTGCCCTGAACCCATCTACTGTGTTTTCCATCCCAGAAAGCAATTCCACCACTCATCTCTCAGCCATCCCCAAACCAAAAGCCTCAGAGTATCATCTTTGGCCCTCTTCTCTCACGCCCACTTTCCCTATCTGATCATCTGTCTAGGTTCTGGCTTAACTGCCTTCAAGTCTCATCCTGAACTCCAAACTACTGGGCTAGGATGCTACTGTGTTGCCGAACTCTTGACCATCTCCACACTTACAGGTGAGACCCCACTCCTGATGCACCAAGGATATACCTGGCCAGTGGCCTCTCACACCTAGATAAACCAGAATACATCCCCACCTGCCCTTGCTGAATTGGCCCCCTGGTATCTTTCTGGGCTATCCCTGGGCTTATACCCTGAGCTCCTCCTTTAAGCCTCTGCTACCAGCATCTAGCTCAGAGTCTGGCACAGGAAGGGGGCTCCGGAGTTGCCTGGCGGGAAGGCCTATGCTGTAGTGGGCTGGACCATGAGGCTGGTCTCCATAACTGCCAGTCTCCCTACCACTCGAGCCCATGCTCCCCAGAGGACACGTGGAGAGGAGACTCCATCAAACCATGTGATGGGGAGTCTCTGGACCAAGAAGCTTAGCGCTAAACACTGAATTGCTCTGTGATCTTGGTCTGATGATCCTGAGCCTTAGTCTTCCTCCTGTCTACCTCTCAGAGTTGCCTTAAGGATCAACATAATGGCGCATCACCAAAGTGGCATTCTTGGGTGGCACGGAGTACCAGCAGTTCTTCAATATGGGTGTGCCCCAGCATCACTCAGAGGGCTCCTTCAAGGACAGATTTCTGGGCTCCACTCTGAGAATTTTCAAATCATTCGGTCAGGGCATGGGGCCTGAGAATTTGCATTTCTAATGAGTCCCCCAGTGATGCTGACGCTGCTCGTCCAGGACTACACTTTGAGAACCAGTGCTCCAGACCATTTTAAGAGCACTGCCTTTCCACAGCAACCTGGTTTTTCTCCATGAAGCATGCTATTTCAATATTCGACTTTATGTTTATGTTTTATCCTTTTTGCTGTTTTGCTGGAATCTTAACTGAGCCTGTAAATTCCTCTGGGAAGAAATTACACCTTCCACACTCCATATTCTCTCATTTTCTGTTTTGCAAAATAATGAGTACATTTCCAGTGTGATTAATAATAGAAAAAGGAAAGGGAGGGGGGACTCAGAGTACCAACCCCAATAAACAGCATCCACAAATGGATACCAGCCCTGAAATCCACTTAAAAATTAATTATGAGGCAAAGAACATTCCACCATCAGTGGCAATGTGGGAAACAAGATTATGTTCTTGATGACACATTTTGTAAAATGTGGGTTATTTAAGATTTTAGCTGTAACTTACTTAAACACCAACATTTTTTTTGAAATATAAAACCACAAACAGCATTTCAACTCATAATTTTTATAGTGATAGTCAGACAATTGTGTTTTCAACATGTAAAATCCATTACATAGTCATGGCAACAGTTTGCAATAGATTGTAAATTTTTATTGAGATGATCATCTTGCGATTGAATTTCAAAATGTATTATATGATCATCAGCAAATAAGTCCATGGGGGCTGCTAAAGTACTTTGAGTATCATTTATAAAGATCAAAAACCCTGGAAACTCTTTGATTTACCCAGTGAAAAGAGAAAAGTCTCATTGGCACAATGAAATCAATTACTTTCATGGATGAATATTGAATTGCAAAGCTGAGATAAGGTATATTACCTGGTTTAATAACATAATCTTATGTCCTTCTAAAATAGTAGGTTTCATAATCGGGTTTCAATAAGGAATTTTGCAAAAGGCCCGCTTTTGAAAATAATCAAGAAAATGGCATTTCCATTTATCACAGTAATTCTGTAACATTCAAAGGCATATTCCCAAGCAACGGACATCCTCACAACCTTGGGTTCCATACCACTGAGATGCACTACGGAAGTACTTCAGAATGATTTACCATTAATTCTCTCACAGCTCTTGTTTCGACAACACAAATGTGTTCCCACATGACTGACATGTTAAGGGACAATTTGAGCACAACATGAGTGTCACATCTGCTGTGTGTGAGTCTGTATAGAAAACACTACCAAAGCAGAAAACTGCACCCAGCTTAATAGACCCACACAAGAACAACCCACCTCAAACGACCACCTGCTACGTCCACTGACCAGACGTCCTATGAGCCACATCCATCCCCAGCGGGTGTCACAACTTTCCACCACCTTCAGAAAGCATTCTTCACCACCACTGCCGCCCACAGACTGCAACCTTTCGGACACTTACTTCCAAAGCACACTTGGGTCCCTTCAAGGAAATGCCCCATATACACTGCAGGATAAAGTCATGTCTTAAACCATTAACATGCGTGACACTGTGCCATCATTTTTACTTACTTTCCTCTCTTTTTAAATGTGTCACTGATGAAGTAGGAGTGGTGTGCCCCAATCCTACTTTTTCCCATTACCCTGATGGGTTTTATTGCATAACTTTCCATACAGCAGTGATTTTTAGGGACACAGATGTCACATTATAGTAGAACTAATTGTCCCTTGGGGTCACTGTGCTGATAGGTTTCTCTCCCTCCCCTCCCCGCCCGAAGCCATCAGTGACTCTTTTCCCAGGGGAAGCCAACGGCTCATGCCTCCACTTCCCCGCCCTGAGCATGGAAGCTCTGTATTCCGTGCGGAAGGCACATACCTCTCTGCTTTCCCTGTGCTGTGACTGATGATCGATGGCAATAGAGTCGGAAAAACTCAAATGCAAATTCTGACTGTGCCACTGGTCAATTCTATGACTTCGGACAAAACGTTTAAAAATATTGGGTCTCTATTTCCTCATGTATAAATGAGATAAAAGTACATCAAAGGGTTAGGGGAGAAAAATTAGATAAGATAATGTGATATGAAGAAAAACCAAACCAAACAAAACAGTGAGTTCTTTTAACGTCTTGAGTTACAGTCAGAGCTGGAACATCTTAGGGATATAGTCAAAGATACAAACCTAGCCAGTGCTCCTGCAAGAGCCCAGAGTCCCTAGGACCTCAGTACAGTTGGATCAAAAGAACCCTTTCAGACGCGGTCCTAGACATCATCACACTCCTAAGCAGCATCCAAAAAACCTGAAAGAAACGGCTAGAGCCAGAAGCCTCCTCTGTACACTGATCTGGGATCTTCCAAAGATACAGAATCCAGATGACCCTTGGAGGGAGAGTCCTAGTCCGGACTCTCAGGTTGGAACCAGGAGGCTCCAAGGTATACAGAGCCAGAAAGCTCTTAGGGACTAAAGCAGTTCCAGAATCCATTGAGAGACACATTCAGGGCCAGGAGGTACTCAAGATAGAGTTGGCACCAAGAAACCTTCAGAGACAGAACAAGGACCAGGAACCCTCAGGGAAACTATGAAAACCAAGGGATCATTAGGGTCACAGGCCCAGCCAAGGTATCCTCAGGGACAAAGTTAAAATCACAAACTCCTTAGATATATAACAAGAATCAGAAGCTCTCAGGGATGTAGTTCAAGCAAGGCCTTTACAAGGCACACAGGGCCAGGAGCCCTCAGGAACACAGGGCCAGGAGCTCTCAGGAACACAGGACCAGGAGCCCTCAGGGACACTTTTAGCACCAGGAAGCCTCAGACATACGGAGACACCAGATGTCCTTGCAGAGACAGAAACAGTGTCCCACTGGAAATGCTGTCAGGACCAGGAACTTCTCCCTCACATATAGCTGGAGTCGGGTGGCCCTATGACTCACAGTCAAAACCAGGCCATCTCTAGAGTTACCAACAGAGCCCCGAGGTCCTCTAAGGCAAGACCAAAACCCTGACCATTGCTCTCTCCCACAGGACTCACACTTCCATCAAAGAAGTGTCGGGATGATTGTCCCAGAACTCCAAGAGGAGGACCAACTGCCCAACCTCTCAAGATGGGAGTCATAAACGAAGTTCTTACCTGCACACTTGGTTCTGGTGGTGAGGGGAGGCCCTGGTGGTCCTGTGCCTCCCTCCCCTGGTCGTGTGAGCAGCACCCGGATCTCGTACTCCACATCAGGGTCCAGATGCCACAACTTATAGTTGGGAGAGTCCACTATGTGGGTCTCGGCCCAGGTGCCCGTGGTGGTGCGATATTCTACCTCTTTCAGGATGATGGGGCCATCGCCGATGATAGAATTGGCATTTGGCTTGATCCACAGGTATGTGGCCCCGACAGCCAGCAGCTCTGGGGGGGCGATGGGTGTGGGAGGCTCTGTAAGACAAGCAATCAGCAAAAGGATGTCAGACCCGAGTGGTTTACACAGAAGAATCCAAACACATAAGGACAAGGACAGAATTCCAGAGAGAGCAGCTCAGATCCCTTTCTTAACTCCATTCACATCCTACTCGAATTTCCATGATTTTGTATCTACATACCTGAGTCGGTATTTCTTCCCCCACACTACCGTATCTCCTTCATTTAAAGATAATAAAGAAAGAAAGCAATAGTGGGTAAATGGTTTTTCTAGAACACAGATGACAAAGATGCCTGGGTTAATATTCTACTTTCTATCCTCAAATGAGAACATGCCTTTATAGGAGAGGAGTTTGCTTCAAAGCCCAGGGGAGTCTGAGATTTACAAATATTTCTTTCATAGCCACACACAGGTTGTTAGTGGAAGTTCTCCCCAAGTAGTGCTAAGAGCCTAAGTAGCAACAGGATGATGGCACGGCAAAAATTCAGCTTCTTGCTCAACTTCAGCAGGGTCCCTCCAGCAGGGAGAATGTCACTGGCACAGTGGCCACTGTGGGAATAGAGGGTCAAGGGAAAAGTCATGCGGCGTTATCTTGCATCAGCTAGGAGTTGCCCTGCTCCCATTAAGTTCTATTTCTTCAGCTAAATAAATGAGAATTTGGGGTGTCTGGGTGGCTCAGTGGGTTAGGCCTCTGCCTTCGGATCAGGTCATGGTCTCAGGGTCCTGGAATCGGGTCCCGCGTTGGGTGCTCTGCTCGGTGGGGAGCCAGCTTCCCCCTATCTCTCTGCCTGCCTCTGCCTACTGGTGATCTCTTTGTCAAATAAATAAATAAAATCTTTAAAAATAAATAAATAAATAAATAAATAAATAAATAAATGAACAAGAATTTCAAAAGCCCTTAAGGGAGTCTTTCTGGCAATTCTTAGCCTACTGGCAAAGCTGCAGAAATTAACATTAACTTTTTATTTCCTATTTACCAAGAAATCGCACATGCATTACTTTGTGCAAATATTAGGACATTACCACCTCCATTTTGATGCATGAAATCAAAGAACCCAAACAATGAGGTCACCTAACCGAGATCATGAAGCCGGTAAGGCAGGACCGAACCCACATCTTTATGCGTTCCCAGCCCAGCTGTTCCCTTGGACAGCTGCTTGCCTCTAGCTGTCCATTTTCTAAAAATCAAAGTGTATATACTTGTTATTTTCTCCTATAGCAAAAAAATAGCAGTGAAACAATAAAGAAAATAGGAATAAAGAAAAAATAACTCCCCTTTCCTACCACCCAATAAAATAGCCAATTTTATTTCTCCATGTTCCAATTTGTATTCATATATTTAAGCCCTTTTTATAAAGCTACAGCAACATATAGGCCCAATGTTTTTATCTCCTAACTTAGGGCTTTCTAAAGACCTTGTTGGGGCGCCTGGGTGGCTCAGTCAGTTGAGTGTCTGCCTTCAGCTCAGGTCATGATCCCAGGGTCCTGAGACGGAGCCCTGCATTGGGCTCCTTCTCCCTCTGTCCCTCCTTGTGCACTCACTCACTCACTCACTCCTTCTCTCTCTCAAGTTAAAAAAAAAAAAATCTTTAAAAAAATTTTTAAAAATACTTTGTTTACAACATGGATTTTTTAAGATTAATTTCACTTTATTTTAAAATTTCTTTTACTTTTTTTTTATTATGTTCCATTAGCCAGCATATAGTACACATCATAAGTTTTTGTTATAGTGGATTTTGTCATCACTATCTTAAATAGCTACAGAATCATACTAAGTAATCTCAAATTGCTGGGCACAGGAGTTGTTCCAACTTTTGCTACAGCAAATAATGTTGCAACGAATATCTCTGTACAAAGGACTCCAGTTTTTCCTGTCTCTCTTTTTTTTTGGAATCAATTGCCAGAATTGGGATCTGTCAATGGATATGAACAAGTCAGTGATTCTTGGAATAGGATTAGGAAGCGGAGGGTGAGAGGAGGCATCTGGGAGTGGAGTACAATGTAGATGAGCTCAAGAACTTTTGGAGGACCTCTGGGCTATTCAGGGGGGTAAGGCAGGTACGGGTTTCAGTCTGGAACTCCAGTGAGAGCCTCAGGATAGATCAGACTCCTTCTGTGTTTGTTGTTGTTGTTTTTAAGATTTTATTTATTTATTTGACAGAGAGAGAGAGAGAGAAAGATCACAAGCAAGCAGAAAAGCAGGCAGAGAGAGAGGGGAAGGAGGCTCCCCGCTGAGCAGAGAGCCCGATGCAGGGCTCGATTCCAGGACCCTGAGATTATAATCTGAGCCAAAGGCAGAGGCTTAACCCACTGAGCCACCCAGGCGCCCCCTGTGTTTGTTTTTTAATTAATTACCTAGCCACAAATATTCTCCAGAGACAGAATAATTGCTATGAAACAGAGGTGGACAGTATTTTCTCAGTGTGACTTGGAGCAAATCTTAAGGGACAACTTCAGATTGCCCAATTTAACCTGCCATTTGGTCAGAGAAGGAAATTAAGCAGATTAGTCAAACTAGATTCTTTTCTTTACAAAGCCATGAAGGTTATTACTCAAGGCATTGTTATCTCAAAGGTGTTTGCAAATTGATTTTTGGATAATTTGTTCCAGGTAGAGAAGTTAAGTTGGCAGGCAGATAATTTCTGGGCTCATCCTTTGTGCATTTTAAATATATAGACCCTCTGATCATCATTGTCAACTCTCTAGAGTTCCCGTCAGTTTCCAGGGAGGCCCCAAGGGTGGTATTTGGTAGGTCTATGACGATTCTGCCCAACGGCTTAACGTAATTACTCACAGGCTGGCCCTGGACAGAATTAAGAGCAGCAGACTTTAGTACTTTGGGGCTTGAGCAAGTGGCCACATTAAGCTCTCTCCCATCGACTTTACACCACGGTTTTTGCTCTATTTCAAGCATTAGCAGTAAATTGCTGACCACCAGAAAAGAAAATAAAGTATCAATCTTTCCAAATGTTCCTGGTCTCTTTTCACGAATTTCCGATGGTAGGTACAATATTGTAACAAACATTCCCTAGAGTAAATAAATGTCTCCATCTCAAATGACTTACTGGTTCGCATGTCCCTGTGTAGACTAGCCAATGAGGTTCTCCCTCCCTCTGTCCCATCAAGAATATATCATGAAGTACATCACAGAGTTCAGCTACTTGGCTCTAAGCAGCCATCAGATTATTGTTTTGTTTCCTCTTTTATTAGTAACCACTGATTTATAATTGACGTTCTTTACAAATCACATGTTCAAGTGATACAAAGAGAGAGAAGTAGGGATGAGACACATAATTATTATTATTTTTAAAAAAAAAAATTTTTTGTAAGCACCTCCCTTTAAATGAACAGAAAGACCATGTTTGTCAGTTCTCCCCTTTGACATGAACTGTTGAACCAGACAGTGCAAGAAGTCAAGGAGGCCACCTAATCCAACAGCCAGTCTTCAGAAATGAAACCAAGGCCTGGGAGGGCTGATGGCCTGTTAACTAGGAGGAGGTCAGGGGCCGGCCATCAGAACTCAGGGCCCAGGCAGCATTCCTCCTCCTCCCTTTTTCTTCTTGTACTTCAGATGTTTAAGTAATTAGCCAGAAAGATCATTCAGGGTTGTCTTTCCTAGTAGGTTTTACCTTTTGAGGATACATAGGCCCTTGCAAAGATCTGGTGAGAAATTCCAGCCTCTCTCCCCAGAAAAATGCACATAAGTCTATCTGTCACTGAGAGTTATGCCCACCACTTCAGGCATTTGTGAACCCTTCTGAAGCCTAGGAATGAACCCCCGAAGAGGCGATATTGAGAAGAAAGGAAAAACACAAGAGATCCTGCTGACAGACCACATGCCCATAACAGCCTACAATCCTTTGGGACCCTGAAGCTACCCTTTGTTGCAGTCCATAGCAGGGGCTAGAAGTTGGGAGTACAATCATGTATGGCAATGGAACTTGATGTTATGTTCCCGATCTAGTGCTTCCAAGTTCCCATGGTCCCAAACATCTGGGTAAAAATAAACATGTTAAGGTTTCCACGGGACAATGCAAAGTAAATGTGTAGGTCCTCATGGCCATGGACCGCCCAACACATTCATAGATTTCACATTTGGGCTAAAATACTTAATGGATAAAGACATGACCCCAACCATGAAATGCTATATCCTAAGTAGAAATCTACAATGTCTGTCTTAGTAGTTTGGGTTGCTGTTACAAAATGCCATAGACTAGGGGACTTAAACAACAGACATTTATATCTTACAGTTCTGGAGGCTAAGAAGTCAAGATCAAGGTGAGGGCCAATCCAGTTCTAGGTGAAAACCCTCTTCTTGCTTTGCTGGCTGTCTCCTTGTTATGTGCTCCCATGATAGAGAAAGAAGGATCTCTGGTCTCATCCTCCTCTTAGAAGGGCACTAATCCCATAATGGGAGTTCCACTTACATGACCTCATCTAAACCTACCATCTCCCAAAGCCCTACCCTCCCCACCCCCAGCTCCTAATACCATCACATCTGGGGTTAGGACTTCAACAGATGAATTTGGAAAGGGAGGGAGGGATACACAATCATCTGGTCCCTAGCAGAGTCTATGTTTTCAAATTCATCCTTCTTTCCATGAGGGGCTTTGTCTAACTGTCACGACCTTGAGACAAATGACCGGACAGAACTCCCTGTGAAAAGAAATCCCACCTAGTACATACTCCCTGCTTCTCATGTCCCAGACAGAGTGCTGAGTATGTGGACTTCAGGGGAAGAGAAACGTGAGCTCTCTGGACGCATGGAACGAGAGGGTGAAGCAGTCAATTAAAGCAGCAATGACAATGGTAGAATGAAGGTCATGACAGGAGTGGCAGAGGTAGTTAGGGGGCCCATGAAGGGACCTAATCTGGTTTAGAGGTCAGGGAAGCCCTTGCAGAGAAAACTTGCGACCCATGGGCCCAGGATTCAGGTTAAGTTTATGAACAAAGAGAGAATGACGTTGGGGGTCCAGTAGCTGTGAGATGCTGGAAAAGGTACTACACAGGGCCACAC